ATTCAAAAATATATATAACTTATAAATGTAACAAAAATTAATTATGAGACAAAGAAAAAACAAAAAATAAAGTTAAAGAACCACAAGTCTAATTCAGTTTTATTTTATCTAATTATGGGTCCAATATATTTTTAAATTCTTACGTGAAATACTTTACAATTGTATATATTTTTATTATATCAAGATCAACATGATTTTAACGAAAATCAATAATTTAAACATAGTTATTAGACTATTGTATTTTCTATCTAATATTAATCTATATTAGATAGACTTATTGTCATTTTTTTTAAAATAATAACAATAATACATTTCTACCCTTGATTTGTTATGCAGATAAGCCAAAATTTAAAGAGAAAAAAAGATGTTAATAACAAATTCTTAAAAAAAATCACGATAATTTGATAATATTAAAAAAAACACATATATGGGATAAGTATCTCAAAACATAAAAATTAAAGGATGTAATCTCACATAAGATAAATATAAAATATAACATTCAATAGCATCTGAAATAACATAAATAAAACAATGATTGTAGCATATTTTAGAATTTCAAAGCTTCAAGCTCTTGTTCAATGAAAGAATATAAATGTTTCAATTCCTCTATTTTAAATATCAACCCAACTTCAAGTCCACCATCTTTGTCTCCACTTTCAGCAAGAGACATATCTTTCGATGAATGCATCATCATCTCAACTTTTATAGGATTTCCAAATTCAAAATCAGTCTCATAAACATTAAACTTAGGGGAACCACTTACCAACAAATGATTTCCAGACATAAAAACCTTTTTAAACATAGCATCCCATTCTTTTGCATCTTTCAATGGATCATTTTTCATCTCTGTTATTGCATTTTGAATGGCTTTAACAGCATTCACAAAACCATATTCTCCTTTCAAATCCTTTCTCCTAACAGCTACAAAACATAATGTTAAGCAATTCCCAAAATATCCCTCTGGTATTGGGTACCCTAGTCTCTCTCTACAATCACCTACGAAACAAAAATACTCATCTTTTTCATCATCATCATAATTATCATCATCATTATTTCTATTTATTATTTTAACCATAGTGGTCCAAACAAAACCACATGTTACCACAAATTTAGATAGAAATTTTGGTGCTTCGATTTCGTGATAAATTGTATTCCACTTATTAAGTATCCATCTTTTCATTCCCTCAATTTCTTATTTTGTAAAAATAATAGTTGTCTTAACATAGTCTTGATGTTCTTCTTCTGTAGTTTTACTTGGAACAAGGAATCTATTCTTCCATGTTTCCCTCTGTTCAAAATAGCCTTTTAATAGAATATTTTCAAGTCCTTTTGGGTCTTTCAAGACTTTTCTATCAAAACATGGTAGTGATTTCATGTCAATTAGCTCACCTTTTTTATGGATAAAAGACCAAGATTTCATGAAATAGTTGCAAAAGTAATCATCCATCACATGGCAATATGTGATGGCAATGCAAATACCATGGTTGGGGAAAAAAGATACTTGCAATGCCATCAAAGAAAATATTAATGTGTCATTATCATCAAAGTCTATTTTTTGTGTTAATTTTGGAACAAGGTGACTAAAATCTTTGACACTTTTTGGGTGATTGGTTGAAAGATTGTTGAAATCTGCCAAGGATTCAATGACAGTCAAAGTTAAAGCATCATTTTGGGTGCAAAGAATAAAAGGTTTATGGGGTGGTGGAGGACAACGGAGATTTCCAACAAGGGGGAAGAAATGTTGAAGTGTAAGGGAAAGAGAATGTTTTAGAGATGGGAGTGTTGTTTGGTAAAAATGATTCCTTGGATGAGGAAAGTTATAAAAGAATTGACGTTCAACATATTTCGGACCTGTAAAAGGTAAGTCGAGAAATGTTAAAGGAAGAGAAGTTGTTGTTTCTCTTTTTGTTGCCGGAAATACAAAAGTTGTCTCTGCCATTTTAAGAAATTTTAAAGAGGATATTGGAAAGAAGAAAATTTTATATAATTTCAAGAGAAGTAATAATGTATTTATAAAATAAAATATAACAATATTTTGAGGTGTATTTGACTAGGTCACGATCACTCAATCAACATTTAACACATCATCATAAACAATATTTTGTTTTTCTATATTTATCAAACATTGCTGTTTAAAAACAAACTCTCCCATTCAAATCGTATCTTCAATTTTTCTGTTATATTCAATTTAAATTACAATGGTAAAGAATATAAAAAAAACATATTTTATATTTTAAGTTTTTAATACTTAACCAACTTTTAGAAAGTAGGGTTCCAATTTAAAATCCTACTTGTTTCTTTTGTAAGTCTATTTAGAACTAACCAATCTAGAACCTGCATGTATATTAATAAATTCCAAGTGTTTTTATCATGAAGAGATTTTATCTCATCATTCATAGTTGAGTTATGTTCCTTACTTTCTTTAAAAGTCATAACATATTTGTAGTTTTTTTTGCTCTTCTTCTAGAATCTCACTTGTAGATACTAAAGTAAAGGCTATTATATATGCTTCGTCAATTCTTTATGGTGGTTTAATTACTCTTCTAGTTCTATCCCTTATTAGTAGGTAATCATTACCTACTTGTTATTCATTAGCACTTTCATTAGCTTGAGTTTCATCCGGCTTAGGTGATGAAACTCCAATCTAATATTGTACTTCACCTTCACTTTGTCTATCACGCGATGAAATCTCCCAAGATAAATTATTGGGTTAAATATGTTTTTGGTCCTCCTAAATATCTCATACTTAACTTTTAGTCTCTCCAAAAATTTCCTTCTAAGAATGGTCCTACTAAAAATTTTAATTTTAACTTTTTGCCCCTCCTGTAATTTAGCGATGATTTTTACAACTTAACGACATAATTAGCAACGATTTTTCATTTAGCGACAAATTTATTGACGGTTTTGGCATGACGGACCAAAAGTTTAAATTAAATTTTTTAGGAGGACCATTCTTTGAAGGAAATTTTTAGAGTGACTAAAAGTTTAATATGAGATATTTAGGAGGACCAAAAACATATTTAACTCTAATTATTTGTATTGTGCATTTGATTGGTAATTAGTAGCAATATTTGTCATAAAAGCCACATGTGTTTCATTAAACACAACATTATAACTTGTGACGCACTTCACATGTCTTAATTCTAAACACCACAATGTGTAAGCATTTACTCATTCTTGATATCTAAAGAACATTCATCTTAGAGCTCTTGATTTCAACTTTTCTTATCTAATATTAACATAAGCAACACAACCAAAAACTTTAAGTCAATCCAAATTTGTAGGATGTTCTGACCAAGATTCTTTAGGTTTCTTTGTACCCAAGGAAATTTAAGGACACCTATTAATCATTTATGATTCATTCATAAAAGTCTCAGCCCAAAAATCATCTTCAAACAAGCACTTAAGAGCATGCATCTCACTTTTTTCAGAGTTTTCATGTTAATTCTTTTAGCAAGATGTTGAGGACTTATTGAAGTTGTCTTGTGTATTACTATACTATTCATGGTGTAATAACTATTAAAATAATTAGATAAATATTCAAGGCCATTATGTGTCATTAACTTCTTAATCTTTCATTAACTTCTTAACCTTCCATAATTTTCTAGATTTTTTGTCAACTATGGACATGAATCACCTTGCGCTTGATTGTGACGGATTTCTTGAGAGCACCCAAAGATCAGCATAAACATAATCAAGAGATCATTTTGTTCTTTGATGTTCTTTGTTGAAATTTTCCCAACAAGCTTTGTCAAACACATAAAATTCAGAGTCCCAGCTTCTCAACCATATCACCACAAAACAAGTTTTTATTTCCTAATTAAATTAAGCCATTCTCACTAGCATGACTAAGTCTAATGTGCCATACCTCAGTATTAGTCAAGGATTTCATAGAAGTTGTAGCACCTGATCCATTCACACTAGCATGGCTAAGTCAAATGTGCCATACCTCGGTCTTACATGTCATTTCTCTTAATGCCTCTCGTAACTTCCTTTCATCCCTTCATGACTTCCATAACACATTGTTAACCTTTAAACACACATCCTTTCTTATCAAATTTAGCAAGAGAAATTAAATTCATATAAAGGTCAGATACATTTCTAACACCAGTGAGAAGTTTCACAGTTTCATAATGAAGCTTGAATCTTATAGATCAAGTACCATCAATCTTACATGCATTATTGTTTCCCAATATTGATCCTATTTCTTGATCAAATAACTCCTCAAACAATAACTTTATTGGAGGCATATGCCAAGTACACCAAGAGTCGATGACCTATTCCTTATAAGAGTCATTTCTATAGGCTACAAAGGCATTAGTAGATTCATATCCATTTCGAACATCGGCAGTGTTAAAATTATTCTTCTTCTCACCATTGTTTTTTTAACTTATCATAACACATATTCCTTGTATGACTCTCCTTCTTATAATGATAACACCTTATAGCAAGTACATCGCCACCATAACTCATTTGTCGCGACCTTTCTTTTTGTTATTCTTGTCATCTTTCTTTGATAATTTTCCTTTCATTGACAATCCTTCACCCCCACTGAAGAAGAATTTTTCTATTTTATTTCACTCAAATCCTTAGAATGCAAATCAACTTGCACCTATTAAAAAATCAAGGATTCTATTCCATACAACAAAGTTTCTTTGAAGTGTGAAAGTGACATTGGTAAAGCACATAAAAACAACAAACCTTGGTCCTCATCTTCAATATTAACATCAATATTTTCCAAATTAAGTATCGATTTGTTAAACATATCTAACTTCTCTATTAAAGAATTATCTTCATTAATCTGGAAAGAATATAAGGCTTAATTTAGATAAAGATGATATATAAAATATTTTTTCAGGTACGAACCATCAAGATTGACCCAAACCACTACAACATTTTTTTCCTTTGAGACTTGTCTCAAAACCTTATCACAAAGGCTCAAGATAATTGCAATATGGACTTTCACGATCATCATTATATTCTAATTCTTTGTTAATGAGTTTTCCATCTTATATGAATCTTTTAACTCTTCTAGCAATCCCTTCTGAACACGAAGGGCTCACATCTTCAAACATCATAAACCAAAAGCATTCATCCTGATGAATTTCTCAATATCAAGTTTTGTTCCATGCATTACTTCTCAATGCTCACTACACCAATTTGTTGAGATTTTGAACAAAAAATCATAATAAATAATTGAATCTTGATGATTGAATGAAAGAAATTGAGGAACAATAAAGAGAAAGTAGAGCTAACACAAACACAAAATATATCATCTTTGAGGAAGGTGTTTGAAGCTCTCCAAAAGCTTTATTTAACTTTTCAATATTGATTACAAGTGAAAAATAAAATGAATGAATTGATCTAAGAATGAATCAAGAACATTTAAACTAAAAAAATGCTAGTAACTAACTAACTAAAAATAGAAAGTTAGTTAAGAAGGGTGATGATTAGACGAATTAAGCTACAAATCTTCACTTTAGTACAATGACAATACTTCAACCATTGGTGCAAGTTTTGCACACAAAAGACTTCAACAAAATTATAAATTTGTTGCTTAGCTCTAAGAGCTCAATCTCCTTTCAAATTTGTCATATCTAAATTGAGGAAAAACTTACAACTTGGCTGTGAAGTTAGGGCAAGTCACTCTATAGATCTCTAACTCATACCTAAAGAGTCTTTATAAATATGTCATTTCCCAAGGATCCTCTATAAATATCTCATTCCTAAAAGGAGATATTGATATCCAATTTCCCACATAAACACATATATTTAGATCTTACCACTTGGCGTGAGCTGGCCCTAAATATTGCCATAGTATCCTAAATACCACAAACAACCCTATAAAAACAATACTACCTCATTGTATTTTTTTGCAAGTACAATTGACACTTACTGTAGGACCCGATAAAATTGACATGGACTTCAAGTTCAAATTACATGATGCTACTGCATACAGCAACAATAATACAAAGTAAGATCGATAGATTATTTCACGGAGAACCTCATATCTTTCATTAATATCACGTAAGTGAGTTTAATTTATTTTGTTTATGTATAATTTTAATATGTTATTCTTAAATGTTGGATGCCAAATTTTGTTGGTTATGGAACATTAATTTTAAAAATCAATTTTAATAATATACTTTTGTTGGAATGAATAAGAAATATCTTATGAGATCAATATTGATATTTATCGAAGAAGAAGAAAGTGTTGAAAAAGTGTAATCCAGTTATATTTTAACACATGTAAATCTATTAAAACCAAGGATTTCAAGAAAATAATTCTTAAGTGGCTTTATATAATATGTTAAATTACATTAAACATATGGATATGTATGTACTATAAAATATTTAATTGACAAAATTGAATTTATTTGTTTTATCTCTAAAAGAATAGATTTTTTTGTGTTTTTAAAAATAGTTTTTAGGAAAATGTTTAGCAAGATGTTACAAGTTTTTTTAAAGTATTTTTCTTCGAAATTATAAGACTGTTTTGATATTCTATAACATAAACATATATTATTGAAGATCAAAACATAGTCGAAATAACAAATTTTTAAAAAAGTTGTATCTACAAAAATGATTTTTAAGAAAAACTTTGAAATAGCTTCAAAATTAAGTGATTTTTTTAAAATTTTGATATCCAAAAAAAAAATCAATGAAATATCTAAAATTACATTTTAAGAATAACTATTCATATCAAAATTTTCATTTGAAGCTTTTATGAAGAAAAAAAATTGTAAGTGCATGCTTTTAGATCCTAATTCAATTTTTTTTCTATTGTTGTTGTTATTGGGTATTCAAAGAAGAATCTTTGTCACCCTCAAAGATAATAAGAATGTTTGATCCTCAAAGAGGAATCCTTGCCACCCTACGAGGCAATTGTATGTTGAACCTTCATTGAAGGATCCTTGTCACCCTATGAGATGTTAGAAC